CAGAAGTGAAGGCATCTAGAAAACCGAGAAAGACACCGATCTATGCCTGGAGACTGCCAGTAAAACAATTTAAGGCTTAATCCTGCATAGTGTGGTTTCAGAAAAGAGGTTGAAAGACAGGAGGGCAATTCCAGCTTGTCAAGTTGTGTACCTTTTAATATCCGTGGGGCTTGTGCACCAAATCAGGAAGAGCCAGGCAAGACCTTTCTTTAAAAAAAAATTAGCAGGTTTTTCCTGCCCCATCTTCCAAGTAACAGTTCCAAAATACCACTATTTTTCTCCCACGTTAGCAAAGTGTGCATGAATTTTTCAGGGAGGTCCTTTACCCCAACAAGTGACCTACAGTACCAAACAATCCACTGCTCAAAAGCAATAGTAAAGAAACTCAGTGAAGAGCTTAACTGCCTGGGGACAGCTGTATTTCTGGCATCATAATATCTTATTCAACCGTTGCAAAAATATCCCGCCTGTTCCATATATATTCAACTAAATTGCAGTGTTTATGCAGTCAGTGATAGCGGGGCAGTAGCCGTAAACCTTGGTTATCTTTAAATGCCTTGTTACCTCACATTTTAAAGTGCATAATCCTGTTGATCTATGGTGCCTATACAAAAATTGCTTACAAATGACAATGTGTAGGTAGGTCCTTTATGTGTAATTAAATTGTGCTATTATCTCTACCTTTTGGGGCTGATTATGCATAAACGTAATGCGTAGGGGTGGAGAGTGGGGTGTCCACTTTTCCTGGAACTAACAGATATGTGATTAATGTAAGAGGAGGAAAAAATAAATGTTGATCATTTTCAGTATAATACCGAAACTTGTTGCATAATTCCCTCTGCCGGGCTCTTTTCCTGTTGTATTCAAAAGGCCATTGTAGGAGATAAATCAACATCTTTTAGTTATTATTCCTTAAAAGCTTAGGTAGAAATTCATTTAGTCAGATTGCCCAGGTACTGTAGGAACTTTCCCTTCCTACCTGCTCTTCAGTACTGGAAAATACACTATTCACTCATTTGACCACGTACTTCTTAATCTAAAGTTTATTTCTATTATTTGAGAAAATTGACTACAAAACTAGAGATTTTCTATTAACCTATGATTTGTTAAAGTATCTTTTTTTTTTTTAATTCATAGTACCGTAAGGGAAACCAACTCCATTTGCCAAATTTTTTTTTTTTTTTTTTGGTTTTTCGAGACAGGGTTTCTCTGTGTAGCTTTGCGCCTTTCCTGGAACTCGCTTTGGAGACCAGACTGGCCTCCATTTGCCAAATTTGCATGTGTATTCTGAAGCTACACACACACACACACACACACACACACACACATATAATGGCAGACCCACAGCTTTCCCAATATTTACAGAGCAAATACAATCACATTTCAGGTTTCATAGCCTTTATATAACATGAAATCTTAGACTTGATTATTTGAGTGAAGATTTCACAGAAAACTCTTAGCATTCCCAAAGCATCTCTTTATCAAGTAGACTAAGTACCACTGTCTAAATTAAAGGTATATATGTATGTGATCATAAAGCTTTTGTACATAGCATTTTCTTTTTAACAATGGATATAAGTCAATTAGCCACTCAAGTACTGGCTGAGGCAGTTTGGTAGCCATAAAGCTTTGAATGTAGTAAAAGGTCTGTGTTTGTCTTTGTCCTACTTGAAGGGTGTTATTGTTTGGATCTGAAATGTCCTCCATGGTTTCAAGTCTTGGTTGCCAGTCACTGATGCTGCTAAGAGATGGTAGATTCTACTGAGGGGCCCAATGGAGGTAAGTGAGGTCACTGGAGGGATATTGTAAGACATACTGGACCAGGGCCCTTCTCTCTTTCTCTGTGTTTGTTGTCAGCCATGAGGAAAACACCTTTCTTGTGCCTTTTTCTACACATTCCCTGACATGTTGGGCTGCTTAACCACAGGCCTAGAAACTATGTGGCCAACTGACCATGGCCTAAAACCTGTGAACCGGTGAACTTAAGTAAACATATCCTCCTCCTTAGGAGTTGTTTATCATTGAAAACTAACACAAAGAACTTGCTTCTCAATGAATATAATAGAAAGTTTCTTCCTAAATGAACTAATCTGATGAAAGAAACACAAAAATGAATAAAATATATTGGAAGGTGGTAAAAGCTAGAAGAAAAATGAACCAAGAGGGAACATGGAAAACACTACATTCCAGGGTGTTAACTCTAAAGGAGATGACAATTGCCCTGGTGAATCCTGCTACTGGTGACTTTAACTGAACAGAAGGCATTTCTGAAAATTAGGTGTTATGGTGGTTTGAATGAAAATGGCCCCCATAGGTTCATAGGGAGTGGCACTATTAGGAGGTGTGGCCTTGTTGGAGGAAGTGTGTCATTGGGGGTGGGCTTTGGAGTTTCAGAAGCCCAAGTCAGGCCCAGTGTTGCTGTCCCTTCCTTCTGTCTGCCTATCCCAATGTAGAATTTTCAGCTCCTTTCCAGCACCATGTCTGCCTGCATGCTGCCATGCTTCTTGCCATGACAATAATAAATTAAACCTCTGAACCTGTAAACCAGCCCAAATTAAATGTTTTCATTTATGAGTTGCCACAGTCATAGTGTCTCTTCACAATAGACAATAGAAACCCTAATCAAGACAGGTATCTACTGGTTTTAATTTTTTTATGTTAATTGTGATTAAACACACATATCAGATTTACCCTTTTTAAGTATGCAGTTCTGCAGTGTTTAAGCACAGGGTTTAAGTGTTACACAATCAATCTCTAGAACTTTCCGCTTATAAAATTGAAATTCTTTATCCATTAAATGATGACTTCCCATGTCCTCTTCCTTTCAGCAGAGTTAGCGTTCTGGTTTTGAACTTGAACCATTTAAGAAAGCTCGTGCAAGTGGAGTGAGACAATGTTTATCTTTTGTGCCTAGCTTATTTTACTTAGAGTCATGCCTTCAAGGTTCATCTCTGTTGAAACTTTGTACTGAAGTTCCTTATTTGCAGGGCTAAAGATAAGTCTTTTGGATCTGAAATATGTTCATTCATTCATCTATTAATGGAATTTTAGATTGCTTCCACCTTTTGGCTCTTACAAATAATGCTGCTATGACCATGGATGTAAGAACATCTATTCCAGGGCTGGGTGTATAGCTCAGTGGTACAGGGTATGCTTATCACAGATTAGGCTCTGGATTTGATCCCTTTCATCAACAGTAATAAATAATAATTGTCATCATCATAATTATATAATACTATTATTACATAATAGTAATAAACACTAATGTGTTAATATAATGAATCACTTAAGGCATGCTAACTTTATGTATTTTTATTATTCTTTTTTATCAAAAATGATTTTTCTAAATACTCAATATATTCTAATCATGGTTCCCCTCCCCCAACTCCTCCCAGATCATTCCCACTACCAAATTGTTCTTTAGAAAACAAACAGGCAAACAAACCATAATTTAAAAAAAAGAAAAACAACAATAAACACAAAAAACACAGAGAAGTACAACAAAACCCATAAAAACACAAAATCAGAAATCTTAATACACAAACAAAAGACCAGTAGGACAAGAAATCCCCAAACAAATCAATATGAGACAAAAAGTCTACAAAAATAGCATTGAGTTCCTTTTGTGCTGGCCATCTATTGCTGGGCATGGGGCCTGCCCTCATGTGCGGTTCACATACCCAGGGAGACTCCACTGGAGAAAACTGATTTTTCCTTTGCAAGTGGGTATCAATTGGAGTTGGTTCTTGGTTAGAGATAGAAACTCATGTCCACATCCCCCTTCAGCACTAGGACAAGGCTAACTATAAATAGGATATTTATTTAGCATATAGTATTGGAGGTCCAAGGACATAGCACTGACATCATCAGTTTGGCTCTGGGGAGAACCTCACAGCTGACATAATCAAGGGATTATACTTGTGTACCAAGAAGAGACTGCCACTTAAAACCAGAGACCAAAGAGGCCAAGTTCCGCAGTTTCTTCCAGAAGCACAAGCCTAATGACTAGCAGAACTTCTGCAAGCACCCACCTTTTAAAAGTCTCACCACCTCCTGGTATTGCTGCCCTGAGACTAACCTTCAATTCATGAACTTTGGGGTGAGGAAGATATAGACCACAGGAAGGTAGAAACACACCCTATCAATAAGGACTCCAAGTTTGCCTTGTCATTAATAATTATTCCTTTCTATACTTTTATTCTAGTAGCTTCTTGTGGCTGAGGTGATCTGTGGATTTTTTTTTAATAATGTGCATCGGTGTTCTGCCTGCATGTATGTCTGTGTGAGAGGGTCAGATCTTGGAGTTACGGACAGTTGTGAGCTGTCATGTGATTGCTGGGAATTGAATCCAGGTCCTCTGGAAGAGCAGTCAGTGCTCTTACCCACTGAGCCATCTCTTCAGCCCCTATCTTGTGGTTTTGATGTGTGTGTGTGTGTGTGTGTGTGTGTGTGTGTGTGTGTGTGTGTGTGTGTGTTGTGGAATATTTAACTATGTAAAGATATGTTACATTTGTTTATTCTGCATTCATTTAATTACTATGTAAAGATGTGTTGCTGTTTCATCTTGCAGCTGATTAGTCTAATAAAAAACTGAATGGCCAATAGATAGGCAGGAGAGGGATAGGTGGGGCTGGCAGGCAGAGAGAACAAGTAGGAGGAGAAATCTAAGTTCAAAAGAGAAGAAGACAACAAGGAAAAGAGAGAGGATCATACCTATGGCCAGAAGCAGTGAAATTAAAACATACAGGAAGAAAGAAAGGTAAAAAGTCCCAAGGCAAAATGTAGATAAAGATTGTTATAAGAGCTAGCAAAAATGAGGGTAAGCTAAGGCTGAGCATTCATAACTAATATAAAGTCTCCATGTCATAATTTGGGAGCTAGTTGGTGGCCCAAAAAGAAAGAGCTTTCTATGTATGTATGTGTGAGTGAGTGTGTGTGTACATATACATATATATACTTATATATCTCATTATATATATATATATATATATATATAGAGAGAGAGAGAGAGAGAG